CTGTCCGCACAACACCTGAAGTACAGTCAACTTTATAGCGGACACTGTAGGGAACTCGAGAGTCCGTAATACATTCAACTCTCATCTTGCGGACACCCCGCTATAAAAGACACTCCGATAATACGGACAACAGCTAAATCCAAAGCAAAAATAATTTACAGACGTTTGACTAAAGTAAACTCCAGCTATTACGGACTCTCGCTAATGAGAACAGTAGCTTAAGGTCCCTACAGTGTCCATTTTCTTCAAATGCTTTCGAATTCGCATATTTCTACTTCGTTCTTATTCATTGGAATTGAAACGATAAATACGTTCATACACTCTCCTAGTTCTCTCGAAAACCATACCCGATTCCAGACCAAAAAGGCCCAAAAACCGTAACCTTAGGGGCATTACATACCTATATAGCTTATATAAGGGAGTAACCTGTTTCGGTTCGTACCAGAGCTCTTCAGGTCTCTAAATACAACTTGAACTTTATTTACGAGCAAAACTCAAGAGAAGTTTGTGACAGATCGATTACCAACGAAAGAGAGAAAACTGGCCAAATACGACCGCTTATATAATACGAGAACTTTGCCTGTTATGAAAAGTTCTTGAAACATCTTTAATATGCTAATTAGCTCCTTGAAGTAAACAGTCATAACAAACTACAACCTGAACAAAAAACTTGTCTAAGTTCATCAAAACTGCTCCTCCCTACACGGTATTTTCTAAAGTGGTACCGACCAAGGGCTAGATTTGCTGCAGAGGATGGTTAGTGCTCGAAAAGTCAACTATTAGGAATATTTTCTTGGTACTTAATTGAGTTTATAACGTTTATTAACTCGGTAACTTATTTTTTTATCTGGAGTCTCCCTGGAACCGGCGGCGCGGGTCGTCTTAGGGGACTGTTGCGAAATCAGGTGACCTCAGGTCATTCAGTTTTAATTTTAGGCTTTTGTCCTTTGTTCTTTGTCTTCTATTCAAGTGTGTCGAAAACTAACTGTTAAAATACAAAATGGTTTTTTGTTGTATGAAAAAACAAAATAAAGCCCAGTGAAGAACTGACAAAGAGGTTTGATTTGAATGGTCACTCAATAGGATTTGATCCACAGACTCAAAAGTTAGAACTTCTTCCAATTCCTTTTTGGTCAGCTTCTGGTTCTACCTCGTTGCGCCTTTTGTTTTCAGTCTACCTAATGGGGGTTGAACGTGACCATTGCCTTAATTGTACTTGCAAACATCTCTTGGTTTTAAATGTGCATGGCGAGTGGAAGGAAATGGAACCAAATTTTCTTATCTCGTATTTCTTGAGACACTTGAGTGATGTTTTGAATAATGGCTGATAATACCATTGAAGAACCAAGAGTATCAAAATGGTCGATTCTTTTAAGAGGAAAAACTTGCGTAACATTTTTTGTAGTAGCCTGTATATGTATTGTATTGCTTTCAATTTTGCTTGCTTTGATGAAAGTCTCCGCTAAATCTTGCAATTCGGAAGAGAAAGATGATTGTAGCCAGTCAACTATCGCTTTGGTTGGAAAGATTTGTGGAGGTGTCTTCATCTTATTTTTTGTTGTCAGTGGAGCTGCAGTAATAGCTTGCAACAAAAGACACAGGCCTGAAAGCAACTCAATAGACGTTGTTGTCTCCGAGATTCCCATGGAAGATTTGCAAAAATCTCCAGCTCCAATCCTTCCGTATAATCATATTCCTCATCGTCCGATATGTGCTGAAGCTTGTTCTACAGATTTGCCTGACTACTTTATTGCGATTTCAAATGTTCCGAAAGTTTCTCCACACTTAGAACAGCGAGGATTTTGGACGGAAGACATTGATAACTCGGATGATGAAAATGACCCGCCACCATGTTATGAGCAAGCTCTTAGAATGTATGGTTTGATATCAATCGGGTCCGAGCTTGAAGATCAGCATCAGCAGGGAAATAATGAAGATACAAGACTGTAGGCGCGATCATAACCCCGGATTATTACGACTTCAGGGCAGCCAAACTTGCATTGACTTTGGTTGATTCTTTGAATCATTGAAGTTGGATTTTCAAGGATTTGCATGGGTGCAAATATAATTCAGTTTTTGAGAAATTATATCTCTTAACAGTCCTGCATGTATTAAGCGTACGGACTAAGCGAAAACCTCTACTTCTGCACCACTCTCTTGAAATGCCTGGGCCGTTCACGTTGACTTGGGTTTATTCTTTGATTCAGCAAATTGAAGTTGGATTTTCATGTGTGCATATATAATGTTAACATTTTTTATATACTATATTTCTTATCAGTCTCAGTTGCATGTATTGAGCATGTTCCGCAGGGTTTGAGCACACAGGACTATAGTGAAAACCTCTACTTCCACCACTGTCAAATGTCTGACGCGTTTTTTAAAACGTTGGCATAGGTTGATTGTTTGAGTCTCCAGATTGAAGTTGGATCAGGTGTGCAAGTAGAAAACAGTTTTTTGACATTATATCTCTTAACAGTCTTACATGTATTGAAACATGAGTGAAAACCTCTCCTTCCACCACGGTCAAATGCCGTTTGAGGAGTTTTGTTTCATCTGTTTGATTGCGTTTAGATTATTTACCACTCGGTGGAAACGTGGGCAAAAATGTATGGAACACTGAGTTAGTTAAAGATTTTCTCTCCGCATTTTCTAAAAATAAGGAGCTTCTTTTCGTTGTAAACACTATGCACCGGAATACAAGTATATGTCTGGCAAATAGTGCCGACGGCTTTTGACAGAGACGAAACTTTTGACTGTCAATTGATTCAGCGACCTAAACGGCTAACTAAACATAATAATTAGGCTTTTTGCCATCACAAAACGATGTTTTTGCTGAATTACTTAAACTCAAGAAAATGTTACCTACCTGTGAATTAGGGACCACTTGCAAAGAAATTCGGAAACGCACAGAACAGTACAAAAACTTAGTCAATGTAACAAAAAAAGTACTCCTTTTTGAGAAGTATGTAATTCATGCAATAGATTCAGTTACTGTCTCAAACAATTTCGTTTTCATTTGCGATGATTTAAAAGCCGGAACTGCAACTTGCGTCTGGGTTTTTTTTTGTCAAGTTTAAACAAGAGCCATAATGGGAAATGGCTCTTGGTTTAATTTACGTTTAATGAACTGCGAGATATTTATATTTGTATTTAAGGGACAGCTTTTTAAGCGAAGTCTAAAAGAACTTATGTTTCGTATTCTAAGTTGCAAAGAAGAGTTATTTGTGAACGATAGTTTTGTCAGTTGTGTAACAATATTCGCACTGCTTGCAGACAGATCAAATCGCTACCTTTTATTAAAGCAAGAGTATTTCAAAATTTTAATATTGATATTTTCTGATCTCTCCCAAAGTAAATGAGTGGAGTCTAGTAAGGTGATTCCAACTTTTGATTCTGTGGACAAAATCCTGGAGTAAACTTATTGGCAGTATATAATAAGAGATTGCTCGCAGGCTATTTAGATTACATCATTATAGTATTGCTCCTCACTGCTATGCGCTTCAAAATCGTATTAGGACAACCCTGCCATTTTAAGAGCCTATTCGTAACAAGGGGTGATCATCATCCGCATCAATATCTTCTGTCCAAATTCCTTGATTTGATTGCCGTGGAGCGTAGAGCGGGTGATTTTTCTAAGTCTTCAGTGGGAATCTCGGAGACTGTAGCTCGAGTAGGAAAACTTCTTCCCATTGTTTTTAGTGTAACATCTTACTGTTATAGACTCTCCTGAAATAGTAAGGAACGACGGAGACAACTCAGCAAGTCTCTCCTGTAAATGAGTTTGACAATCTGCAACAGTGAAGCGAGTTACGCTGTTGACAAGATCTGTCTCCAGCTGATAAAATAAAAACCGCTGATAGTAAAACAGTACCCGCCAAAACCAGAAAAAATCCAGAAACCGTAAAACCCGCTAAAATGGCTCTCTTCCTCCAGCGTGTACAGACTGTGGGTTCTTCATTAATCTCTGCCATAGTTAAATATCTAGAACTGTCCGCACAACACCTGAAGTACAGTCAACTTTATAGTGGACACTGTAGGGAACTCGAGCTAGCTTTAATATGCTAATTAGCTCCTTGAAGTAAACAGTCATAACAAACTACAACCTGAACAAAAAACTTGTCTAAGTTCATCAAAACTGCTCCTCCCTACACGGTATTTTCTAAAGTGGTACCGACCAAGGGCTAGATTTGCTGCAGAGGATGGTTAGTGCTCGAAAAGTCAACTATTAAGAATATTTTCTTGGTACTTAATTGAGTTTATAACGTTTATTAACTCGGTAACTTATTTTTTTATCTGGAGTCTCCCTGGAATCGGCGGCGCGGGTCGTCTTAGGGGACTGTTGCGAAATCAGGTGATCTCAGGTCATTCAGTTTTAATTTTAGGCTTTTGTCCTTTGTCTTTTGTCTTCTATTCAAGTGTGCCGAAAACTAACTGTTAAAATACAAAATGGTTTTTTGTTGTATGAAAAAGCAAAATAAAGCACAGTGAAGAACTGCCAAAGAGGTTTAATTTGAATGGTCACACAATAGGATTTGATCCACAGACTGAGAAGTAAGAACTTCTTCCAATTCCTTTTCGGTCAGCTAGTTATGGTTCTACCTCGTTGAGCCTATTGTTTCAGTCTATCTAAAAACTTGATATACTGCGGTTTGATCGTGACCATTGCCTCAATTGTACTTGCAAACATTTCTTGGTTGAAAATGGCATGGCGAGTGGTAGCAAATGGAACCAAATTTTCTTATCTCGTATTTCTTCAGACACTTGAGTGATGCTTTGAATAATGGCTGATGATATCAACGAAGAGCCAAGAGTATCAAACTGGTCGACTCTTTTAAGAGGAAAAACTAGCGTTGCAGTTTTTGTGGTAGCCTCCATGTGTATTGTATTGCTTTCAGTTTTGCTTGCTTTGACGAAAGTTTCCGCTAAATCTTGCAATTCGGAAGAGAAAGATGATTGTAGCCAGAGGTGTCTTCATCTTATTTTTTGTTGTCAGTGGAGCCGCAGTCATAGCTTGCAACAAAAGACACAGGCCTGAAAGCAACTCAGTAGATGTTGTTGTGTCCGAGATTCCCATGGAAGATTTGGAAAAATCTCCAGCTCCAATCCTTCCGTATAATCATATTCCTCATCGTCCGATACGTGCTGAAGCTTGTTCTACAGATTTGCCTGACTACTTTATTGCGATTTCAAATGTTCCGAACGTTTCTTCACGCTTAGGACAGCGAGGATTTTGGACTGAAGACATTGATAACTCGGATGATGAAAATGACCCGCCACCATGTTATGAGCAAGCTCTTAGAATGTATGGTTTGATATCAATCGGGTCCGACCTTGAAGATCAGCATCAGCAGGGAAATAATGAAGATACAAGACTGTAGGCGTGATCATAACCCCGGATTATTACGACTTCAGGGCAGCCAAACTTGCATTGACTTTGGTTGATTCTTTAAATCACTGAAGTTGGATTTTCATGCATGGATTTTCATGGGAGCAAATATAATTCAGTTTTTAGAAATTATATATCTTAACAGTCTTGCATGTACTGTCAAATGTCAAACGTTGAATGGTGTTTATCCTTTGAGTTAGCAGATTAATTTGAAGTTGGATTTTCATGCGTGCATATATAACTGAAACAGTTTTTTTATATTATATTTCTCAACAGTCTCAGTTGCATGTATTGAGCACTGATCATGATCTTCCAAGGTATGAGCACACAGGACTATAGCGAAAACCTCCACTTCCACCCCTGTCAAATGTCTGAGGCGTTTTTCAAAACGTTGGCATAGGTTGATTGTTTGAGTTACCAGAATGAAGTTGGATGCAGGGGTGCAAGTAGAAAACAGTTTTTAGACATTATATCTCTTAATAGTCTTACATGTATTTAAAGATGAGTGAAAACCTCTACTTCCACCACGGTCAAATGCCGTCTGAGGAGGTTTATGTTTCATCTGTGTGATTTCCTTTAGACCATTTACCACTCGGTGGAAACGGGGACAAAAATGTATGGAACAGTTAGTTAAAGATTTTCCCTTAGTGCATTTTCTGAAAATAATGATCTTCTTTTCGTGGTAAATGCTGTGCACCCGAGTACAAGTATTTCTGGCAAATAGCCCTGACGGTGAGCAAAAGTCTCAGAGTTTTCAAACTCTCGTTATTTTAAAGTCCTTTAGTAGATTTCAGAAAGGTTAAGTAAGTTAGCAGCGTATTATTGATATATTAAACTTCGAATCATAGTGAAAGTAGGGCCCACCTTAGCTCTCAAGTATTTTGCTTAAATTTTACAAATTTCCCTAAAAGTTTGACAGAGATGAAACTTTTGACTGAGAATTGATTCAGCGACCTAAAGCTAACTGAGCATGATTATTAGACTTTTTACCATTCCGAAAGGGTTTTTTTCACTTAATTACTTAAACTCAAGAAAATGTTACTTAAGTACAGGTGTAAATTAGGGCTCACTTGAAAAGAAATAGAAACGCACAGAACAGTAAAAACACTTAGTCAATGTAACAAAAAAGTATTCTTATCTGATCAGAAGTATATGTAATTCGAGCAATTGATTACTGACTCAAACAATTTTATTTTTATTCGCGATGATTTAAAAGCCGGGAGCCGCAACTTTGCGCGGCTGGTTTTTTTGTCAAGTTTAAACACATTTATTTCATTTCATTTATTTGTTTTTTTAGTCACTCACATCACATAAATCATGATAAAACGTTACAAGAGGTGTTAAACACAGGACACACAGGACCTTGTTCCAAATTTTAGTAGAACTGATGGTTTTAAATATAGTTTTTTTAACCGTGTTGTAGATGAATGGAATGGTTTACCCAATCATATTAGAGAATCAAACAGTATTGCAACTTTTAAAAGAAATGTGTTAAGCTTTATTAAGGATAACTAGAACATTTATATTTCTATTTGTACATATTTTTCTTATATGTTAATTAGTGGGGGCATCCCTAGTGTGGCGCATTGGTGCTTTTGGTTGTCTCCTTCTCCACAACTTTTTGTTTGTTTGTTTGTTTGTTTGTTTGTTAAAGTAGTGTTAGCTTATTTCATTTCATTATTTGCTTGTTATGCAGTGGAGTGAATCTGTAATAAATAAAAATAAGTTGTTGTGACAAGGAAACCTAAAGAAGCTGGAAGGTTATATTAATAGGCTTCCTTAAGCTATATTACAAAGGCTTACTTGATTGCAGCGTGTACAGAAAACATAAACTTAAGCGACAGAATGACTATCAATGACGGATAATTTTTCAGATTTTTTTAAAAACAAATATGGAAAAGGAGCCGGTTAGTGTACATGAACTAGCAAAGAATTCCAGATTGGTCCTCGATAAAGGATACTGAACTACTTAATATTAATCATTCTACAAAAATGAGATTTATACTGAGAGGCTAGTCGACTTTCATAATGGTGAACCTGGTTACTACTTAAAAAGAGGTTACGAAAGCTACTAGGCAAAAGATTATGGTGATAGGAATACATAAATGTAGCAACAGAAAAAGAATTAATGCTATATATGTCAAGGACGTTATGTTTGCTGAATAATGGGGCGGTATTTGCTAGATAGGGAGCTTTTGATATAAGCCGCGCTATGCGCTTTTGCAAATGGTAAATAGAGTTTAGGTAAGAGCATTAGGTGGAGAACCAAGCAACATTACAGTATGTTAGGTAGGGATATACTAGAGAGTAATATAAGGTCAGCAACGATTTGGATGATAGATATAAGCGAGCTTTTGCAATAATTCCCACAGTTTTCGAGATCTTTTCAGAAACAAAACTAATATGAGATTTCGAGGAAAGGTGCTGATCAATGATGATACCTAAGAATGTAGTTTCCACGACTTAAGGTGGCTGAACACAGTTTTGCGAGCGGTCACCGGCAACTCGCGTGACGGCGGGTGTTTTAAATTAGACAAACAAACATGGCGGCGAAAAAGCAATGGTACACAGAAGACGATTTCACAAAATTTACTCATTAAAATTTTGTGATACTTGGCAGAAGTTTTACTTTTATCGTATTTTAAATAATAAGAACTTTAAAATTGAATGTGACATACGAATGTGACGCGTTTAATAATTACAGTACCATTATATTATTGATTATCTAAAAACCCGTCTGTTAAAATTTGGTCAAATAAGTTTCAAATGGTAACGATTAATTATAATAAGCTGTGTGTAAGTTTATAGGAAAATCTAATGAGCGAATTTTATGTAAACTGAGCAAAAGTGAAAATTTAAAGTTGTATTCAGTCGTTCATGTTGCCATGGAAACTGCGAAAACGTCAAATTTTACCTGTCAATCAAAATCTTTCATCAGTATATTTTTCAATTGTCAAGTTTCAGCTTGTGAGTTGCAACCTTTTTCTTGCCATGATTTGACAAATGACATACTGACAAACTGCCTAAACTGTGTTCAGCCACCTTAACAGGTAGACGAACATTAATTTTCTTTTGCCTCGGATGAAAAATCAGAAAGTTCGTTTTAGACAAATAGAGGGATAATTTATTCGCTTTAAGCCAAGTAACTATTTTTGTAAGTTCATTGGTAGCAATGGAAACAAGGTGGTCGGTTTTCCTATGGGAACAAAATATATTTGTATCATCACGTTTGAAACAAGTTTTTATCAAGTTTAATCAAGAGCCAAACTGGGATTTGGCTCTTGGTTTAATGTACGTTTGATGAACTGCGACATAACTAAACTATGGCTCACAAGCGTTATTTATTTTTACACTTAGCTTAAGTTTTTGGACCCTTTTTCGTTCTTTCTTTTGGTGGGAGGGGGTGGATTAAGCTCGGTGTTTGTTAGATTGCTAAAGACTCCTACCAAGGATTAAGGGACAGCTTTTTAAGCGAAGTCTAAATCGAACTTATGTTTCGTATTCTAAGTTGCAAAGAAGAGTTATTTGTGAACCATGGTTTTGTTAGTTGGGTAACAATATTTATATTCTAGGAGACCGAACAAGTCGCTACCTTTAATTAAAGCTAGACTATTTCAAAATTCCAAGATTAATATTTTCTGATCTCTCCCTAAGTAAATCAGTGGAGTCTAGTGAGGTGGTTCCAACTTTTTATTCTGTGGACAAAATCCTGGGGAAAACTTCTTTGGCAGTATTTTACAAAGTGAAAATTGGAATTTCTGTCGAATTTTGCTTTTTGCCACCTTACAGCTAGAATACTCGATCGATAAAAATTGTGGAGTACAAGTATTACAGAAATTAATGAATTCATAAAAATACATTAGGCATAAATTATGCAACAACAGTTGAAATATTTCATAAAAAATAAACGGAAGCGGTTGAGGATTTTTCATTTTACATGTTTGGCGTCTAAATGGCGTTTCTACAGTTCTATGACCTCATATTATGACGCATCAGGAGCCGAGACGCATTCTTAGCACAGTCAGATCCATGTACGATCAAAATTAGGTTTTGTATAGATTACAGCATTATAGTCTTCTATCCTCACTGCTGCGTGCTTCGAAATCGTATTTGGATAACCCTGGCATTTTAAGAGCCTGTTCGTAACACGGTGGTGGACTTTCATCATCCGCATCAATATCCTCTGTCCAAAATCCTTCATTTGATTGCCGTGAAACATCCTTGATATTTAAAACCGCGGTAAAGTAATCTGGCAAGTCTGTCGAACACGCCGCTGCGTCACCATTATAAATAGCGGTTGCCAGACGCAGAGGAATATGATTATACGGAAGTATTGGAGCGGGTGATTTTTCCAAGTCTTCGGTGGGAATCACGGAGACAGCAGTTGGGGTAGGAAAACTTCTTGGCATTGTTTTGTAACATCCTACTGTTATAGACACTCCTGAAATAATAAGAACAACGGAGACAACTCCGCAAATCTCTACTGCAAATGAGTTTGACGATCTGCGACATTGAAGCGAGTTACGTGGTTGACAAGATCTGTTTCCAGCTGATAAAATAAAAAACGCCGATAGTAAAAAAGTACCCGCCAAAACCGGAAAAAATCCAGAAACAAAACCCGCTAAAATGGCTCTCTTCCTCCAGCGTGTACAGACTGTGGGTTCTTCATTAATCTCTGCCATAGTCAAATATCTTGAACTGTCCGCACAACACCTGAAGTATTTTTACAATCAAATTTCAGGAGCAAAAAAATCGTCTAGCACTTTCCACATCCTTTTTTCAAGGCTGAGTAGCTTTACCGACTTCCTGTCACGTTGTAAACCCCCGGGGGTACTCCTAGGAATTATTGTGGGGGTGTGTCGCCCGGCAACCTCGTCCCCCGGGGGGGACTCCGCATATGAAAGGGGTGGGGATGCTCGTCGGGAATTTTGAATTAAATTCCTAAACGAGACCGATCTGGGCGAGGCCCAAGCTTTTTTGGATCCCTAAAAGAGGCCATGTTAAAACACAGACAAACGAGAAAACTTGGATTATATGACTGGAATAAATAAAACGAATTAAAAATATAGATATCAAATTCATATATTTTTATGTTTTTGCGTGCAACCCTAAACGAGACCTTCACGGCTAAATATGATGGCGTTTTGCCCAGAACACCCTAAATGAGACCAAAATCCGAAATTTTCACCCCTAAGCGAGACGACGAGCATCCCTACCACTTTCATATGCGGAGTTCCTCCCCCCTCGGGCCTCTTCCCCAGGAAGCCAGAGAAGAGCGCCCTGTGGACGAGGTTAATCGCCCGGTTCTCTAATTCCAGACCAAAAAATTTAATTTACCACACCGCTATTCAGATCTGGCCTTCTGGCAGAAATTATGTCATCATTGCTTAGATTAGTGGCCCGGGGGGGGGGGTTTTCGATATATCCCTGGCTGGGGGGGGGCGGCCCGGCCCCTCATACCCTGACCCTGTTTAAGACAAATATCGGTGATTTTCCTACCCTGTTTAAGACAAAATTCCGATAAGCCCTTATAAGGGATTACCCCCCCGGGATTAGTGGACAAAAAAAAATTTCTTCAAATGCTCTAGTTTGGAATTCGCATATTTCTACCTCGTTCTTATTCATTTGGAATTGAAACTATAAATACGTTGATACACTCCTGGAGTTACCTCGAAAACCATACCCGATTCCAGATCAAAATGGGCAAAGTGTATACCCGCCTAAAAAGGTCCAAAAACCGTACGCTTAGGGGCGGCACATACCTATATGGTTTAAATAAGGGAGTACCCCCCCCCCCGGGTGTAAAACTCGTTAAAACAATCTCATTCACACGACCCTCTCAGTAGACTGCCTGTTTTCTAGAAAATGTTCGCGATTGTCATATATCCAGACCTATTGCTAAGACTTCAGCAAAGTAAACAAGCACTTCCCTCTGCAAACTTCCGGTCACGTCTTATGAGCTGTTGCCACTTGCCACTTCCTGTGCTAATGAATACAGTGAAACCTGTATTAAGCGGACACCCTCGGGGAATACTGTAGTGTCCGCTTAATACAGGGTGTCCGCCTAATACAGGTTTCAATCGATAACGTCATATGAGGTGTCAAATGCCATTCAAATGAACTGTGGAAACGTTTAGAATACTCTCAGAGACTATGAAGATATACGTTTGCATGAATTTCTTTATCAAAGTGGACCAATTGATCATAGTACCTTAAACGCAGATTGCAACTCAAATTTGCAGAAATCAGATGAGTGAAAAAAGCGCTATACAAACAAAACGAAATAGAAAACAATACTGTACTGAGAAACTAATAAGTTCGTCAAGTCACGTTTTTTAATGTAAAAATCGAAAAATTTGTGGGTAGTACTTCGAGGCAATCTTTCGCATTTCCGGTGTCTGGCTTGTTGGGTGGTGGAATTGAATTCCAAGTGTCCGTTTAATACAGGTTGGTAACAATAGAAATGACCATTTCAGGTACTTTTTAGGTGTCCGCGTCCGCTTAATAGAGGTGTGCGCTTAATAAAGGTTTCATTTAAAGTAAATAAGGAAAATAAATTTGGGGACTTCGGCTACTGTCCGCTTAATAGAGGGTGTCTGCTTAATACAGGTTTCACTGTACAGTGAAACCCTACTTTACGGACTCTCACTTAATACGGACACTTCATTTTTACGGACAGTTTTTTTTGTCCCCGGGGAAGAAAGCCCTTACAGCCCTTTCATCGTTCCCTGTTCAAATTCTTCATTTTAAAGATAGCCTATCGAACGCTGAGAAATCTTCTACATTTGTCATGTGGCGATGAAGTTTGTTGACTAAAAAGAGTTTTTTTAACCAATCAGTGTAGATCAAGCTCGTAATCAGAAATTAACACAGGTAATATCATGAAAATAGCGTCGTAACCTATTGTAGCTTTGATGATCTCTGTATATGATTTAATAACGCTAAAAACGGTTGATGCTATCCAGATGGGTTAGAGAAGTAATTAATATGTACATAAAATTGTTAAAATTGTTAATATATCCTCTCATTTCAATAACCTAGGCTAATACTTTAAATACACTATTTCTATTAATGCAGTTAATGTTAAATAACTCCCCATGCGAAGTATTACTGTGTCCCAATTTTTTTTACGGTTTCTTTTTCTTTTTTTTAAAATTAAATCAGGTTTTGTTGGGCAAATGTCACTACATAATTTTGAAAACACGAGACGCAATGCCCACATATTAAACAGCGAGAATCGAAAAGAGTTCAGATATCAGTTTTTAAATACTTTGCCTAGGACAAGACAGTAACGAATATACTTCGGTATGTGCATGAATTCAGCAACTGATCAATATATTCCATCAACGTATAATAAATTATAATTATTTTTTTATTACATTATTACAGTCTTGTATCTTTACATCTTCCTTGTTCAAGTTGGACCTCAACATCATTTGTAGTTGTCAGCAATCCTGAGATTTTAAGCGCTTGTTCGTAACATGGTGGAGGGTTTTCATCATCAGAAACATCCCTATCTTCTGTCCAAAAGGCTACATCTACAGATGGATAAACGTCTTCACTATCTTTTTGTACAATAGTGAAATAATCGGGCAGGTCTATTGAATGAGAATCTGCAACAAACGACGCGGGCTCGTGGTGAGGAATACGGGCCTGACCGTAATTAAGTGAAGAAGCCGCCGGCGTTTTTTCCAAGTCCTGTACTGGAATCTCAGAGACAACAACTTCAACTGACTTAAGTCTTCTCATGCTTTTGCGACCAAAAGTTATTATGATCACTCCAATAATAATCAGTATAACGGCAACGCCTCCAAAAATTCCTCCTTGTTTGTTTGATTTCGATGAACGCTTGCATTGGGAAGACTTTGGATCATCATCATTTGTAGGGCAAGGCATGGAAAAAGAGAACATGAGAACCAACAAGACAATCGCCCCAAGCAGGCAAAAAAACCCGAACGCAAAAATTGCAGGTAAAATAATACTTCTCCACTTCGACCATCCTAAGACTGGTTCCACTGTTTGTTGATCAATAAACTCTCGCATTATTTAGCACGGCACTCAGTAACGTCTTGCTTCAAAGGGAATAGCTGATATTGTAGGACAAATCGTTTACTACATCCCGTTTAAAGCACTGTGACATCGGTACTTGTATTTTTAGCGGGCATAAACAATATACTCATTCACGCGCAGTCAGTTGTACTTAACCACATTATTTAAATAACTGTACCTATACTGACAGCCGCATTTGAAATAGCTCATGAGCACGTTCTTAAGGCAAAAAATTACTTCCTCCCATTACTGATAGATTTCAACATCCAAATACTGAACGTTAATCAAAGAGAAAGATTCTTGTATTAATAATGGTGATCTTGTTCGTTGTTTGATAGTATCACGAGGTAATTATTGAAATTTAGATTAACCTTAGTAAAAACCGTGACAACATTAAGATGCACGAACCATTTCAGGGTTCCATAACGGAAAATGCGTCATTAAATGGAAATTGAGGCCAAACACTTGATTACAAAACAGACTGAAAATGAGAGCCAATAGGAAAAAAAAAGTGAGAATCGAGTTTCCTATTTTCGCCAAAGAAAACCGTCCTGAATATAAGCAAGAGTCTCTTGATATAAGATATCAGAAGCCATAAATAACATTCAAGAATTTGCTCACTTTAATGATAATTTTATTTGAAAATCACTTCAGTCTATGGAGACCAAGGAGGGAGAAGAGAGCCTAGAGCCTTTCAATTTTTTACTGAACATGTAGCTTTCAGGGGAAGAAGGGAAAAACAATTAAATGTCTCCACTTCCAGTTATCTTTACGCGCTCCACAAATTTTTGCATTTTTACTTACCTCAAAGATGAAACGTGCTTTCTCGCGTCAGGTAATTTCACAGATTGTGAAACTTTCTTTACACATGAAAGCCTCGACAAGTATACGTCTTTGAACTGCATGCTTTTATCCGCGTGTTGTTTGAAAGAATGACGTCAAGGAAGTTCAAAGAGGTAAGGTCAAATTTATAATGTTCATCAAAGCTGTGTGCTAAATACCTTCCTTTTCCCAAATCGTACTTTTCTTAATTGTATTTTAAATCTAAACGAGGAAAACATACTTATTCATCGAATGAATAGTATGGTAAACTTAATGACATTATTAGTTTGTCTAAAAATAAGGTATATATCGTGCTTGTTTAGTTGTTTGACCGCTGAACAAATGTATGCGATAATGTCACTGAGTCGGAACAGTGTTGTTGACAAAATTACGTTTACAAAATCAAGGAAAAAGCGTATCAACAACCGTAAGTACACAAAACGTTATCTGGCTTATAATATCATTCCAGCAAAGGATACTAAGGTTTCACAAGATTGTGATTAATAGTAACAACATCTTGAATTATGAAAGAACATTTGGAACAAGAAGGCCAAGAGAAGTTAATATCTTCAACGAGTGATGCAAGTTTATATTTGAAGTCTATTGCTATCCCACTGTTCGCATTTCTGTGCATAGCAGGCAGTATCGTCATTCTAGCGTTCAGCTTTGTGTTATTACAAAACAATTGCGCCGGTTGTCGTTCTTCAAATGAAGAGGTAGATTCAAGGAACCTGGAAGCAGTTCTTGGGCTTATAGCGGTGCCTCTATGTATAATTGGTGGACTGACGGATTTTGGAAGGAGGTCAACAAGAGGAAGAAGACGTCATCGTGTCTCGAGCAACCGTTTTTGGTAGCTGAGGTTAACGAAAAGAGAAACAAAAAGAGCTTTGAGGCAGCAGCCGGAAATCTTTTAGCGGCTCAGTGTTGTCTTCTTCCCATTCATCACAATGTCGGAGTTGGTTCAGTAGCTGAGAACATCTTAAACACTATAAAATAACAGACCAAGGGCCCTGCCATGCGGTGGTTGGTTGGCGAACATGTTCCAAACTGTGCCACAGGCAACCCATACACGGTTTCTGTCGAATACACAGCTTTTCCGTACTCGCTGAGAGAACCAGATGTCGAGTGAACTATTTACTATGTGAATTGTACCTGGATTAAACAAGAATTAACACAATAAATGGAAATGTAGTTTTTAACGGTGCATATCATCCCACATAAGTCTAAATTTAATAAGGTAATGTTCAGTTTATGTTTTACGTGAAAAGGTCCGCTGTGGCGTGACTCAGTTTGCACTAGGGCTATGATTGGTCATTGAAGAGAACTTTAAAGCATGTTTACTTAAAGCAACTATGACTGTGTTTAGTGCTTAACAAGAGAGCTCATTCTCTCTTGGTGTTAAACAAATGTTTTCGATAACTCTTAGGCACGATTTGAAAAGAAATTAACTTCCTCTTATTATTCAGGATATGACGCGTGTCGACCATTAATGGAGTTCCCGTTCCGTATAATGCAAACCTCGTTCCACGTTCCATACTAAGTTAGTGAACCTCATTTTACCGTTTGGCATTACAACCTACGCGATGTCAAAGATATTTGTGCTCTTATTAACTACAAGCAAAATTTAATCATTCCTATACTTTTTTTTCAGCAAGACAGGATAATAATGGGCGCGATCCATTCAATCAAAATTCAGACCGGTCCGACTGGGAAAAGTGGTCCACCTCAAAAGGTGGACCAGTTTTTTCGGTTGGACAGAACCGATCCATTGAGTTTTGGGTCGAAATTCCCGGAAATTTTGGTTGAATGGATCGCGCCCAATGTCTCTTTATCCTCTCTTTTATTTCAATTATTATTTCCTTTTTTCCGCTATTTATATTTATACTTTTGATGTTATTTGAAAATGGAAGTTGTGATGGGGTTTCTGTTGGCTGTGTTGGGAGTCCTGCGTGACCCCAATCATGCATGAAAACTAGACTGCTAAGCCACTATACATGAAAGGTTGTAGGGTACATCCTGTTCCATGCAGACAATCATGCCTAGCCTATCAGAACATCAATTTTCTTTTCCCTCTATTTGTTACCCATAGCTGAGCTACAGAACTTTTTATAAAAATTATGCAAGTCGAAAACGTCGCGAGTTACGGTCCCACTATTTTTAAGATTAAGGGATGCCGTCTTGCAGTTATAATCTCCGTCATGCTCTTCCTCTAATCTTTTTGAAAATTTCAGCGAACCTATCGTTACCATGGTTACGATGTCAGGCTAGAGGCAGGGTGAAGGCTATACTAAAAAAAGAAAAACTAAAACACCAGAAAAATTCAGAAAAGAAAGCATGAAAAATCGTACTATCAGGCTAGGTTGAACGCTTTTGACCGAGTTGTGACAAAATTGAACGCGGAAAAAGGGTTTTTGCAGTAAAATATTCTTCAACCCCAACAATTTGTTGAAAGTTTAGTAGAGCTTTCGGAAACCATCTGGATCCTGTTAATGACAGTAGAGACGAACGCCTTGTAGGCAAATGTGACAGTGATCCTTGTTTTCCGGGGATCAGAAGATTACGAAGGAAACCGCACGTTCGAGGGAACCGATACCATTATATAAATACAGCATATTTGATCTGCCTTCGTCAGAAACAGCTAGACGAAGGCTAAACAAAATCATTTTAACTCCAGTGAAAATTACATCTACATTTATGACTGAATACAACGAAGGGAATGACTGAATACAACGAAGGGCAAGCCATTTGGAGAGTATCCAAGGTTACCAGACGAGTTTTGTATGTCATTGGTGTGGTAGCCGCATTTCTTTGCTTCGCGGGAAGTTCAGCAACCTTTACGGCAATATTTGTTGTTTTTTGTTCTCACTGTTCAAGGCCTAACTCGTTATTGGTATGGTTAAATGGCCTTGCTGCTGTAAGTCTATCCGTCATTGGAATAACTATCTTATATTTTGTAATATTTGGCTGTAGAGAAGGAGATAACACTGAAAATGATGCTGACGTTGTCATCTCCGAAATTCCCGCCGAAGACGTGGAAAAATCACCAGCTCCTGTAATTCCTTACAATCACATACCTCATTATTCACCGTTTGTTCAACCCTCTTCAAGAGATTTGCCCGATTATTTTACCACGATGCAAAACAGCAATGGAGGGGATTTACCGGATTATTATAGTATTCTTCAAAATGGCAACGGAGCTCAGCTTTTCGCGGACGCTGAAATCTCAGGAGATACTTCACCACCATGTTACGAGAAAACGCTTGAAATGACTCGTTCTGGAACGGCATGTGTCGACGTACGATCTAGCAACAGTGTATGACCTTTTGTTTGAGGAAAAGGTATTCAGTATCATGAGCCAGAATGGGACCATTATGGCTCTTTGTATTATGTATCTTGACACATGTCAGATAGCCGCCGCGGACATCAAGTCAATAACCCATTACTTTGACAAAATTCGGTTTCTTGTACCACGGTCCTACTAGACTACGGGTAGTCCCCATTTTTCCTCAGGGATAGTAGAACGCGCAAAATGCGAGCGCGTGTGAAAATAAAGCCATGCGAGAAAGAAGAGACACGGTGAGAGAGAGTAAAATCACTACGTCTCTCGTCTCGCGTGGGGTGATTTTCACGCGCGCTCGCGTTTCGCTCACTCCACTATCCCTGAGGAAAAGTGGGGACCACTCGTAGTCTGTGGTCCTACATACGCTTAGGCTATGCTCACCCCCACGGGTACTGGATAGCTTCTCGTGCCGACAGGAAAAGCTATCCAATAACACCTATCCGATATGTGACTCTCCTCTTAAGAGATCGGCGAGGCGCAGCATATCACCGTTTAGCCTGAGAGCAAGCTCTCCTATTTGGGGCGAGCGAAGCGAGCAGCGCGCGAACGCTCTTTTCGCGCGCGAGCGAGCATCTCCTCTCGCGTGCCTCTCGCGCGTGTACTTTTCACGATATCCCCAAATGGAGAGCTTGCTCGCAGGCTAATCACCGTTCCTATGTGTAAACAGAAGCCCTATCTGTCTGGTGTGATTTTCGCGACTGCGCAAAAGTTGTCCAGTATTGTGTGAATACCTGACAACCTGACAGACAGGAAGAACAAGCGGAGTTCACTTTGGAAACCAAAACAGTCCACCGTGAGTTAATCAGGATGTCTGATGCTTGTTGAGAGAAACTGAGAAAGAAAATAGCAGGTCCGGTTTTAAAAGAATTTAATCTTTTCATGATACTTTCTTTCATCTGTAAAACAATAAATGCATGACAACCACTGCTCTTTTCGGAACCTAGTTCCCAGGACTTAAGGGGGATGAAGGATGAGGAACCCTGAAAACGAGATTGCCGTTTCTTTTATTTATCACCCAGTCATCAACCCTACAATCCCACAATCCCTTGTCGTCCTTGAAGTTCCCATAATTCTCGTTGCTTCGTTCATACTTATGTAAGTTTTGTATTTCTTATCTTTTGCACTACGTAGACTATCGCTATTGTGGTGAAAAAAATTTGAAAATTGCCCGGCCCCTTATTTACGGCCTTGATCTACGCGATGTCAAAGATATTTGTGCTCTTATTAACTACAAGCAAAATTTAATCATTCCTATACTTTTTTTTCAGCAAGACAGGATAATAATGGGCGCGATCCATTCAATCAAAATTCAGACCGGTCCGACCGGGAAAAGTGGTCCACCTCAAAAGGTGGACCAGTTTTTTCGGTTGGACAGAACCGATCCATTGAGTTTTGGGCCGAAATTCCCGGAAATTTTGGTTGAATGGATCGCGCCCAATGTCTCTTTATCCTCTCTTTTATTTCAATTATTTATTCCTTTTTCCGTTATTTATATTTATACTTTTGATTTTATTTGAGTGCTTTTGCAATACTGTCAATAGATTTAAACATGTAACGGGATTCCTGTTGGCTGTGTTGGGAGTCCTGCGTGACCCCAATCATGCATGAAAACTAGACTGCTAAGCCACTATACAAGAAAGGTTGAAGGGTACTTCCTGTTCCATGCAGACAATCATGCCTAGCCTATCAGAACATCAATTTTCTTTTCCCTCGATTTGTTACCCATAGCTGAGCTACTACTTTTATAAAAATTATGCAAGTCGAAAACGTCGCGAGTTACGGTCCCACTATTTTTAAGACTAAGGGATGCCGTCTTGCATTTATAATCTCCGTCATGCTCTTCCTCTAATCTTTTTGAAAATTTCAGCGAACCTATCGTTACCATGGTTACGATGTCACGCTAGAGGCAGGGTGAAGGCTATACTAAAGAAAGAAAAACTAAAACACCAGAAAAATTCAGAAAAAAAGCATGAAAAATCGTACTATCAGGCAAGGTTGAACGCTTTTGACCGAGTTGTGACAAAATTGAACGCGGAAAAAGGGTTTTTTGCTGTAAAATATTCTTCAGCCCCAACAATTTGTTGAAAGTTTAGTAGAGCTTTCGGAAACCATCTGGATCCTGTTAATGACAGTAGAGACGAACGCCTTGTAGGCAAATGTGACAGTGATCCTTGTTTTCCGGGGATCAAAAGATTACGAAGGAAACCGCGCGTTCGAGGGAACCGATACCATTATATAAATACAGCATATTTGATCTGCCTCCGTCAGAAACAGCTAGACGAAGGCTAAACAAAATCATTTTAACTCCAGTGAAAATTACATCTACATTTATGACTGAATACAACGAAGGGAATGACTGAATACAACGAAGGGCAAGCCATTTGGAGAGTATCCAAGGTTACCAGACGAGTTTTGTATGTCATTGGTGTGGTAGCCCCATTTCTTTGCTTCGCGGGAAGTTCAGCAACCTTTACGGCAATATTTGTTGTTTTTTGTTCTCACTGTTCAAGGCCTAACTCGTTATTGGTATGGTTAAATGGCCTTGCTGCTGTAAGTCTATCCGCCATTGGAATCCATGGAGTTGGAATCCATTGGAATCCATGAATCATATGGAGTCTATCCGCCATATATTTATAAATGATATATTTGTACTTTATTCATAAGTATTAGATAGGTAATGCCATGTATAGATATGGAAATACCTTAATAAATTGTTGTTGTTGTTGGAATAACTATCTTATATTTTGTAATATTTGGCTGTAGAGAAGGAGATAACACTGAAAATGATGCTGACGTTGTCATCTCCGAAATTCCCGCCGAAGACTTGGAAAAATCACCAGCTCCTGTAATTCCTTACAATCATATACCTCATTATTCACCGTTTGTTCAACCCTCTTCAAGAGATTTGCCCGATTATTTTACCACGATGCAAAACAGCAATGGAGGGGATTTACCGGATTATTATAGTATTCTTCAAAATGGCAACGGAGCTCAGCTTTTCGCGGACGCTGAAATCTCAGGAGATACTTCACCACCATGTTACGAGAAAACGCTTGAAATGACTCGTTCTGGAACGGCATGTGTCGACGTACGATCTAGCAACAGTGTATGACCTTTTGTTTGAGGAAAAGGTATTCAGTATCATGAGCCAGAATGGGACCATTATGGCTCTTTATATTATGTATCTTGACACATGTCAGATAGCTGCCGCAGACATCAAGTCAATAACCCATTACTTTGACATAATAGATCGTTTTCACTGTCACGCAACAAAAAAATAAATTGGAAACCGTCCAGTGGAAGAAGCCGAGAAAATGACATGTTACAAAAGACTAATATATAAACAATTTGTCCAAGTCTCAGGTCTTTGTGGCCCACTTTTTCTGAGTTATTTGCCGAAACGTTTCACGCACCCTTGTAGAGCTTTGTATGGAGACGCCATATTGGTGTACCGTTTTGGTCCACCAATATGGCCGCCGGAAATCAACAAAACATCTGGAGTTCACTTTTTCTATAAAAGCTCTTTCTTTTCACTTGAGAACCAGCCTACGTGCGCATAAACATGTCTTGTAATACTTGAAATGGTTATACTGCTGAAAATCAAGAGGAGAGACTTTTTTCAACGAGACAGCATTCCTGTTTTGGTGTCACGCACTGTGAAAACTCGGAAGTTCGTATTGCTGTATTTTCGAAATGAAACATGCTACGGGAATGGAAACTTGAGCAAAGATTTATTTTTTGTTTATCTTCAACCTAGGCTAAATACGAATTCGTAAAACCTCGCTGTTTTGACTTAACAGTTTGATGACGTCACTGTGAAAACCGTCTATTCGGTTTCTTGTACCACGGTCCTACTAGACTACGGGTAGTCCCCATTTTTCCTCAGGGATAGTAGAACGCGCAAAATGCGAGCGCGTGTGAAAATAACGCTATGCGAGAAAGAAGAGACGCGGTGAGAGAGAGTAAAATCACTACGTCTCTCGTCTCGCGTGGGGTGATTTTCACGCGCGCTCGCGTTTCGCTCACTCTACTATCCCTGAGGAAAAGTGGGGATCACTCGTAGTCTGTGGTCCTACATACGCTTAGGCTATGCTCACCCCCACGGGCACTGGATAGCTTCTCGTGCCGACAGGAAAAGCTATCCAATAACACCAATCCGATATGTGACTCTCCTCTTAAGAGATCGGCGAGGCGCAGCATATCGCGCGCGAGCGAGCGTCTCCTCTCGCGTGCCTCTCGCGCGTGTACTTTTCATGATATCCCCCAAATGGAGAGCTTGCTCGCAGGCTAATCACCGTTCTTATGTGTAAACTCAAGCCCTTTCTGGTGTGATTTTCGTGCCGGCACAAAAGTTGTCCAGTATTGTGTGAATACCTGACAGCCTGACAGACAGGAAGAACAAGGGGATTTCACTTTGGAAACCAAAACAGTCCACCGTGAGTTAATCAGGATGTCTGATGCTTGTTGAGAGAAACTGAGAAAGAAAATAGCATGATAATTTCTTTCACCTGTAAAACAATAAATGAATGACAACCACTGCTCTTTTCGGAACCTAGTTCCCAGGACTTAAGGGGGATGAAGGATGAGGAACCCTGAAAACGAGATTGCTGTTTCTTTTATTTATCACCCAGTCATCAACCCTACAATTCCACAATCCCTTGTCGTCCTTGAAATTCCCATAATTCTCGTTGCTTCGTTCATACTTATGTAAGTTTTGTATTTCTTATCTTTTGCACTACGTAGACTATCGCTATTGTGGTGAAAAAAATTTGAAAATTGCCCGGCCCCTTATTTACGGCCTTGAGGCACTTTGTGTACTAGAGTCTGCAATACATATTATTTTTAGTTTCTGCGTGGCATGCGCCCTTGTTGTCCATTTTTGACCATTTCTTTGAATCGTGTTCTCAGGGTTTTAATGTTGACTTCTCTCTCAAGGGAGTGATTGTTACGGATAATATGAAGGATTTATTACCCGAAAAACCGAGTTTTAAAAAGTTATAGGCACAAATGATAATAAATTCTGTTCCATGTGTCAATGAAACAAAAGTGAATGGAAGACCGGTACTATAGCCTCCAACGGAGACATTCTTAGGGTCTTGCAACCTGATAATAAATGCGCAGCCTCGTCCCAGGGCGTTTTTCCCTGGCTTTAGAGGTGGGACGCCCCACCTCCAAAGCCAAGAAAAAACGCCCTGGGGACGAGGCTGTGCATTTCAGTAGCGATTCAATACGAAACAAACACTCGCTCGGATCACGTGATCCGAAACGCATAGGCCGCGCGCAATAATGAGGCCTAGGAACAAGGCAAGAGCCGTGGTGGGAAGCTATCGGTACTGGGTGGCAATGGGCTAATTTTTTTTAGCCCAACATTATGCTAACTATATGTTGAGCCTTTCTTATGGCCCGCCAAAGCTATACTGTACCGTGATGAAAATGAAACTCACGATTGTCGTAGCCAATAGACAAGGAGCCAAAAAGGAGATAAAATAAACTTAGTCCTTCGATTCTCTTATGCTCGACTTTATTCTCATCCTAAGAGGCGAAAACGTTGTCGTTGAAATTTATGCTGACAAAAATCCAGGCATTTAACAGGCCTGGGCTAATACGGTAAGGTAAGTGTAACCTGAGATCAAGCTCTATTTTCGTTTCGCTTTGAAAATTACATTCCGGGGGGCAAGGCGAAACGAAACGGTAGCCGTTAGAGAGAATGTACGAGCACCGCTAAAAGTGGGCCTGATCTCAGGTTACCGCAGTTACGAAAATGAAAGGGCCATCATGTTCCTTTCAAACTGTCATAAGAAGCTTCAAATTATAGTTTGGTACCGTTCCCACTAAATCTTTAAAAAATGTCACAATATATTGAGGCAGACCTGTCATGGAAATGGCCCAAGTGTGGAAGAAGGCTTTTATATGCAGTCTTATCGCTGTTCTGTTTCATGGCAAGTGCAGCGGCTTTTATCATTGGATTTATGATGTTATGTCCAGATTGTGCATCTCCAAACACGCTTTTACTGTGGGTACATTTGGTAGGTGCCTTTCTGTTATTCGCCATTGGAATGAAGACATTGATGACAATAATATTCAGCAGAGGAAGGCAAAACACTCCTCCATCTCGGGTTCTCATTTCTGACGCTCGTACGGGAGATTTGGAGGATTCACCCGCCATTAGTGCTACCCATCGCATGCCTCGTCGTTTACTGTTTGTTGTAAACCCACTACGTAATCTAGTACCTCGGCAAAACCAGGTCGCTGAAGATCTATCTTGGAGATATTTGCCGGATTATTTCACTGCTCTACAGAACAGTAATGACGCAGGTGCTGGGGAAAAGCATTTCAACGAAGCATTTTGCACAGAATACGTGCCCACAACTCCACCTCCATGTTACGAAGAAGCGCTTGAAATGACACTGATGGCAATACCTGTATCAAATGAGGAGAAGGATGCGCATTTCGAAGAGTTGTGAAAACGTATATGATAGTATCATTATTCCGGTAGGCGACAAATCTACGAAAAAACCTATATCACGCTATTATTTCAGTAAACAATCTTCCTTGTACTTTTGATTTGAACTAGAACCCAGCAGAAGACTGTTTGGAGTGTAGTTCTTCGTTTGAAGAAAGTTGTTGTACTGAGTTTTGCTGATTGAAAAACTTGATCTTTTTCACAGTCAAACAGTAAAGTGAGTGAGTAAAATCGTATGATTATAGTCCACTATCTTTGTTTGTCTTTTTTTGCGAGAGTTTTGCAGCCGCCTTGACCGCCATTTCATAGTGAATATAACTCTAATCATCTCATTCAAAAAAGTCGTTTATTCTGATCCTTTAAGTTAGACTCAGTAAGAGCGCCATTCTTTAAGTTTGATAATGACTATTTTGTCAGTGCAAGAGCAGTGATAGTATCGCCAAGCATTTCATTAGATTAACCTAAACTCCATCACAATATTAACTGAGGCGCACTCGTTTGTTCCCTCGACGGAAAAATGCGTCATTGCCAGAAATTGAAAGTGAAGGAAACACTTGATTACGAAGCAGAACCGAAGACTCAATATAACTTGAAAAAAAAGTGAGAACCGGGTTTTATTTGATTAAGATATCAGAAGTTGTAAAAAAAGCCTTGAAGATTTTTTTCAAAATCAATTCAGTCCATTTGGAGACAAGACAGGAACCCTTATGAGCTGACACAGGTTTCGAGTAAAATTATGAGTCATAAATAGAGCTTGTTTTTGTGTGTAAGGCCATCTCCCCCTTTTTTTTCCGTTTAGCGTCGAATGCGTTTCTTGATGTTGGGTCGGTCGGTCGGATTGAAAAAAAAAAAACCTAAAAAAAAACAAAACAAGAAGTCTCCGAATAGGAGGCCCCGGTACCCCGGGATGACGTTAAAAGTTAACATTTACATATTTGGATTAACGAAATGCACAATATACTGTAAAAANGAGTGTAGTTCTTCGTTTGAAGAAAGTTGTTGTACTGAGTTTTGCTGACTTGAAAAACTTGATCTTTTTCACAGTCAAACAGTAAAGTGAGTGAGTAAAATCGTATGATTATAGTCCACTATCTTTGTTTGTCCTTTTTTGCGAGAGTTTTGCAGCCGCCTTGACCGCCATTTCATAGTGAATATAACTCTAATCATCTCATTCAAAAAAGTCGTTTATTCTGATCCTTAAAGTTAGACTCAGTAAGAGCACCATTCTTTAAGTTTGATAATGACTATTTTGTCAGTGCAAGAGCAGTGATAGTATCGCCAAGCATTTCATTAGATTAACCTAAACTCCATCACAATATTAACTGAGGCGAACTCGTTTGTTCCCTCGACGGAAAAATGCGTCATTGCCAGAAATTGAAAGTGAAGGAAACACTTGATTGCGAAGCAGAACCGAAGACTCAATATAACTTAAAAAAAAGTGAGAACCGGGTTTTATTTGATTAAGATATCAGAAGTTATAAAAAAAGCCTTGAAGATTTTTTTCAAAATCAATTCAGTCCATTTGGAGACAAGAAGGAACCCTTATGAGCTGACACAGGTTTCGAGTAAAATTATGAGTCATAAATAGAGCTTGTTTTTGTGTGTGAGGCCATCTCCCCCTTTTTTTTCGTTTAGCGTCGAATGCGTTTCCTGATGTTGGGTCGGTCGGTCGGATTGAAAAAAAAAAAACCTAAAACAAAAACAAAACAAGAAGTCTCGGAATAGGAGGCCCTGGTACCCCGGGATGACGTTAAAAGTTAACATTTACATATTTGGATTAACGAAATGCACGATATACTGTAAAAAATGTTCCTGTTGTTTTTCATGTTTTTTTCCACACTATTTTAATAATAATAACTTTATTTATTTATTTTATTTATTTATTTCTATAGCGCTCTTATCCTATGTTCAATATTTTATACTCATTTTTCAGATTAAAAAAATTATTTCAAGTGAAAAATGGTTTAACTACGTCGTTACTTCTTTGTTTTTTTTTTTCTGAAAATGACAAAAATTTGGGTCAGTTGGACGACGCTAAACGGAGAAAAATAAGAGGATGGCCTAAAGCCAAGCTACGGAATTCCTTCTAATATACAGCACGTGTGAAGAAACTTCGCATAATGTTCAAAGTTGTAAACGGGGAATGTCCACATTATTTCACAATCGATAGAACTAATGTAATAAATTCCTATAGCTATAATACTCGATCTTTCTTCAATAATTCTTTGGCTTTACCGAAATACAGGTCAAACCTGGGTCTCCGCGGATCATTTCACTCGAGTAAGACTCGTCCGTGAAATTGTATAGACGACAATACTAACACAGATAAGGGGCACCCAACTACTGTTTTCGGGAAAATATCTGTTCGGAGAAGCAAATATTGCCTAGAATTTTCTTTTATCTGAGGAAGGCTAAAAATTTCTAGATCACTAAACTAAACTAACCTCTCGGCGTTTATCATGTTTATCCGCTGACCTGATAATGCTTACTCACTTACTTTGGCTGGGAATCTTCCCGCGCCTTGCTGCCTATTTTTGACTAGAGTACAGCTTGCTTCTTTCGAGAGAATGATTCTTGAAGGATGAAGGATTTGTTTGTTTAAAACCGCACTTAAAAATAGTGCAGGCAAAACTCACGAGATATCCCGTTACATGTCAGTAAAAGTCAAATTAAATGTGATATTTCAGGAAGTCATAAGATCAGAGAACTTTTTCTTTCACTTTAAACACAAACTAAGCAAGACCGATGTGGGCTAGAAATCAGCTTCTTCATCAAAATGAATGATTTGTCTTAGCCATGGACAAGAAGGCAAAGAGGAGATGAAAATAAGCTTTTCCCTACAGTTTTTTAATGTTCAAATACATCCTCATACAGAAAGCTGGGAACGCTGTTGTTGACATTTATACCATAAGGATTTTAGGCTTTTTACAGGTTAGGGCTTGCAAAATCTTTTAAGTTCCACTTGACTTCCCACGGTACGAAAGTTAAAGGGTACGTTGGTTATACGTTCTCTTCAAAATTGCCATCAAAGAAGCTTCAAGCATAGCTGTGGGTACCGTTCCCGCAAAAACTTAGAGAACAATGCAGGCTTGCATTGACGCAGAGGTCGCAGGAAAATGGCCCAAGTGTGGAAGAAAGCTACTATACACAGTGTTATCTCTGTTCTGTTTCATTACAAGTGCGACGGCTTTTATCATTGGTTTTATGATGTTTTGTCCAGATTGTGCATTTCCAAACACGCTTTTACTGTGGGTACATTTGGTAGTTGCCTTTCTGTTATTCGCCATTGGAATGAAGACATTTGTGACGGTAATATTTAGCAGAGGAAGGCAAAATGCTCCACCTACTCGGGTACTCATTTCTGAAGTTGCCACGGAAGTCTTGGAAAATTCAACAGCGACACTTGATACCCATCGAATGCCTCTTCGTCTACTGTTCATTGTAAACTCTTTACACAGTTTAGCAACTTGCGATAGATCTCAGCAAAACCAGGTCACTGAAGATCTTTCTTGGAGAGATTTGCCGGATTATTTTACTGCTCTACAAAACATGAGTGACACACGTGCTGCAGGCGACACATACTGCAACGAAGCATTTTGCACAGAAGAAGCGCCTATGACTCCACCTCCGTGTTATGAAGAAGTGCTTGAAATGAAATTGATTGCACGTCCTGCTTCAAATGAAGAGAATGTGCATCTTGGAGAGCTATAAAATTTCATTAAAAAAGCTTACTTCACGTTGTTATTTCGGTACACGAATCATCTTTGTAGACTTTTACTTACACTTGACAGACTTGAACGCATCAGAAGACATGTTTGAATGTGTAGATCTTCGTTTGAAGAAAATTATCTACTGATCTTTGAAGGTAAAAGTCTTAGTCTTTTCAACATCAATCAAGAAAGCATCTCAGTGTGGAAATATTTATATTTTTGCGGGAGTACTGCTGCTTTATTGACAGCCATATTTATGGTGAATATTAGTCTAATCATCTCATACAAAAATTCGTTTATTCAGATCCTAAAAATTACATGAAGAGCAGGATTTCAGTATTTTGTCAGTGGCCGTTTTTATACTGAGGACGCACTATCTAGCCTGCATAGCAGGCGCTTGGAAGTAGTGGGCAAACACGAAATATATTCACAACTTTGCGGTTACAGAGCGGTGACGTAATCAAAACATTAGAGTGCCCAAGTCCTTGGCCAGGAATGCATGACGACGCGAGGTTGTCGCGTGTCTCCCTCGCGCGCGCCCGTTCTCTCTTTCGCACACTACTTCCAAGCGCCTGCTACGCAGGCTAGCATTATCCGTCTGGACGAACTCGGGCAAACATTCTGTAGTTCGTCTGGTTATGCGTCTCAAGTATAAAGACGAACAAAAGACGCATTATGTGTCTGTACGAAGTTTCCAGTTTGAAATACGTCTTGAAAGACGCACTATGGAGGTAGTTCGCCTGGAAGCATAACTTGTGCCCGTCTTTTACTATACTAGAGACGCATAACCAGACGAACTACAAAATGTTTGCCCAGGTTCGTCCGGACGGATAATGCGTCCTCATTATAAAAACGGCCAGTTTTAGTATCACGCAGCAAGTACTGTATTCATTAAATTTCATCAGCCTAAAAATCCTTGACAATAGGCCGGTTCAAACTAGGGACCAAAGTGATGAAATGACGAGAAATTTCAAAAGTAGGTTGAGTTTGATCGTCCGGGTGAACGTAGTCCTGAATAGGACTGTTGCTGTTGACACCGTGACTGACGTTTCGACAACCTGTGTGGTAGTCACCTTCAGAGTCAAAGCGAGAAGTGTCGTTAACGAGAAATATCGTTAAATGTGAAACAAAACTGAATAGAAGGCTCGCGTGACTGCGGTAATGGGCTGACTTTATTTATTAGGCCAATATTTCATGATCAGTTGGTTTACAATATTACGTGTGATGTGTGATGTTAGCCTTCCTAAGGGTCACAGCCTACGTAATTGTAATGATAATTCTGATATTACAG